GCCATATGATTTTTTATTTTATTTTATTTTTTTTTTCATTTATTTTTATTAGTTGGAGGCTAATTACTTTACATCATTGTAGTGGTTTTTGTCATACATTGAAATGAATTAGCCATGGATTTACATGTATTCCCCATCCCGGTCCCCCCTCCCACCCATATGATTTTTTAAAGAGTAATTCTACAATCCAGGATGAGATTCTACCAATTATAAAAGTTCAATATACTCCCCCATTGATAATAAGAGCCTACTCCTGGCTCCTGGCTCACTGCTTCCCTGAGCCTGTGATATTAGCATGCTGACACTTCTAAGTTGCAGGGATGGCAGTGAATTTCTGAATGAGTCAATGTCTTACCAGATTCCAATTCTTTTCCACCCAAAGGCATGCTGTCCATTTCAAGGGTGAATCAATCAGTTTAGTCTATGATTTTCACAGGAATTGGCAAGGCTCTCTGAGGGCACTGCATTTGGCCATATTTCTTTACCTGACCACATGTAAGCTAGGCACTAGATCATTCTTGGGCAAGCCTGAAAACTGTCAGGATACAAAGTAATTTGTTTCCAACATCTACCTTTATCTTGGGAAGCCTGTGTTCTCAGCAGGAGTTGAACTGAACAGTAGAAACTGCCAAATGATGATCCTGAGTGTATAAACCCAACAGCCAACTGGTGGCTTAAGTTCCACTGACACTTCCTGTAATTTCAGGCTGGAGTCCAAGGAAAACATTACTTTGCTAATCCCATGGGCTGACTGTTTCTTTCTCTTGAAGGATGATCCTTAACTGGAAGGCATTCCTTTTGCGATTACTTGGTTTACATGATGATGGTGGATATTTTGTGACATCACCAAGATAAATCACACCCTTTAATTCCCTACACTTCATTTTCAGATAAGTTGGACAGATAGAAGATGAAATATAAATTTCTTTCATATTTTTAAAAGACTTATGCCATTATTTGACCATCCATGTGAAATAAAACTTAAATTTGTTCCACACAGAAATCAGATTTAATTTCTAGATCAATATGGATATAGTGCAACTCAAACTGTCTTAAAGGTAAGAATGTACAGCTGAGTACATCCTAGTTTTCTAGGTGCTGTCTTGAGATTCCCTTGCTTAGTAGTGTTTCTATGAATGTGGCAACAGATTCCATTATCCTCACAAAATAGCCAGTTGGTGACAAAGTGATCTGATAGCATTATTTATATACTTCCTCTTTCAACAATCATTCACGCAGCTCTAGTATATTCAAGGGTCCAGGCAAGGAGTGGCCTATAACATGTGTGTGAAGCAACATATAAAAACTGCCTCTATCCTTAGGTAGGGGATTCCCTAGTAGCTCAGTTGGTAAAGAATCCGCCTGCAATGAAGGAGACCCTCGTTTGATAACTGGGTCGTGAGAAGGCATAGGCTACCCACTCCAGTATCTTGGGCTTCCCTGGAGGCTCAGCTGGTAAAGAATCTGCCTGCAATGCGGGAGACCTGGGTTTGATCCCTGGGTTGGTAAGATCCCCTGGGGAAGGGAAAGGCTACCCACTCTAGTATTCTGGCCTGGAGAATTCCATGGACTGTATAGTCCATAGGGTCGCAAAGAGTCGGACATGACTAAGTAACTTTCATTTTCATCCTCAGGTAGCTGTTAATTATATCATCCAAAGGAGCGAGTGATGAGTCAGAGCTGTGGTATAAAGTGCTAAGAAAGATCAGCAGAGAGTTGACTTCAGGCTGGGGTGAACTTGGTTGGTTTCATGAAAGAGGGAGCAGTTGAACAGAAGTGAGTTCCTTCTTTCTATCTGCAAAAGAGCAAGGACTTCTATAAAGGCACAGGCATGCATCTATGGGACTAACATCAACATGAAAGGTCACAGCTTCATAAAAGAGAGAGAATATGAATCTCTGTATTTTGTCAAGAATAAGGAGCAGCTTCTGGCATGGGAGGATTCGAAGGAAAGAGAGGCCCAGTAGAGGAAGATTTCAGTGTTTCTATGACTCCCTAAATCCAATTTCAGGTATTAACAGACTAATGATTTGTTAACAAGATGGCTACTGGTTGCCTGTCATTTTCTTCCCTACTACTTATCATGAACTGTCCAGGGGGAATTCACATGAGGTATTGTAGTGGCTTGGATATAATTTACAAGAACCCAGATTCTTCCTCTCAAAATTCAGGTGCATGTTAAAAGATATTATTTTCCAATTCTTTAACCAAGTGCTTTGACATGATGTTCGGGTTTGTACTATGTCAGCATGTTAAGAAATTTTATTTTCACTATTCTACTTCTTATAATAAAATACATAAAGCTGTTTTAATTGGTGAGATCAACATGGTGAAGTTTTGGAAGTTTAATGCCATGTCGAAGTATATACTGTCACAGCATAAACATGGCTCAGTATTCAAAAAAGCTTTTTTGTCTTCATATCAGTGGCCTGGAAGAAGTTTATCAGTCCAGACAGACACATATTTAAAAGTAGAACCACCAGCTTCTCTTAGGGAGGGCATTTTCTTCTTATGTAGAGATGATGATGATAATAGTAATATTAGCCTTTACTATGAGCATTTACTAAGTGTAAGGCAATATAAAAATTTTACATAGGTTAATTTAATGTTTTTAATAACTATTATTACCTTCATTCTACAAATGAGAAACTGAGGCAGAGAAAGGTTACAATCTTGCCAAGATGACACAGTAAGTAATGGAGCCATGATGGGAACCCAGCCGTTTTCCCCTCACACCGGAGGAATCTCTATATCCCAATGAAACATCCGTTCTGAGGCACATCCACCATCAAACAAGGTCTGTTCTCTGAGATGAGGGGACCTGATCCCATCACTCCAAGCCTAAGAAAATGAGGCACCTTTTCTTTACCTATAATTGTACATCCTATCCAGTAATACTGCTCTTTGATACAATACATGACCAAGGACATAATCTAAAATTAACTATTTCATTTGAGTCTAACACAACTACAAATGTGACATTCTGACTAGTATTTTAGAATCAAATACATAAGGTAAATAGTAATTAGCTTCCTTATTCTTAGGTAACTTTTCTGTGCTCTGTCTCATTTGGCAGACAAAGGCAAGTGACATATTTCAGGAAAGTCTAAGAAATTTTTACTCTAATTATAGAGAAATTAGAGTATCTTGCTTTGTAGCACACAAATCCTATGGGAACTAGCGTTAGCTATTTAAAGTCAGGCAAGTATCTTGGAACAAGAGATAGATATGGTGTCCTGGGTTGAATGACTGACGCATTGAGTAATGAGCACTGACAATCTTAAAAGAAATTAAGAATGAAAACTATGAATGTAAATTAATGGACTCAACTTAAGAACAAGAATAGAAGAAGTGTATCTTCCCACTAACTAAATAAAGTGGGAGACTTAATTCTAATAAATAACAAATATCTGTATATTTTTTGCCTACCCCAAGAAACCAGAACTCTTTTTGCTTTCTCCCACAAAACATCCATTCAAAATACTATTCATTGCCAAAAGATAAAATTTTGAAGTCATTTGAGGCCATCAAGGAATTATAGGGCAAAAATTCTGATAGGTTTCCAATTTCTTCTACATGTAGGGTTATCTAGTTTAAAGGTACAGACACAAAGGTTCCTATTGCTATGCTTACTGAGCATAGTTTCTGGTTTTAAGTTAGTTTTGGGCACTTTGATAAATTTACTGTCATATTTTACCAAAATGCAGTATACACTAAGAGTCACAAATAAATCAGAGCCTTCTCATTTTACAGCTCCTTGGGTCAGATCTCAACAACTAAGAAGAAGGAGTCCTTTTTCCCTCCCTAAAGGTGATAGAATCTTAGATAATCTATAGTTTGGGAGAAAATGAAAATAGTACTGACTAATTTCCTAGTGTCTTCCCAAATTCTTAGTTTGTGAAATGTTTAAAAAACTTCAAATTTCTGTGATGAATGAAAAATATTTTGACATCTTGCTACTAGGATAAGTTGTAAAATAATTTTTTCTTGAAAATACAGCTCTAATGGCAAGACACATCTCCTAGTTTTAGAGCAGTCTCTTATATACACACCCATCTTTAAGTTACAGCAAAAAATAAAATAAGGAAGTTTTAAACACCCTTTCACTCTTTGTCATCATTAGTAATGGGCAAAGAATTCCAGCCTACATACAACATCTAAGCTTGTATCTCTTGAGGAAAAAAAGACTAGTAATTTAAATCATAAGATTTAAAAAGACAAGTTCACTATTAGATTATCTCCAACAAAATAACTCTCACAGAAGGCATATACTTTTTGGTTGCTTGTGTGTTTTTTGAGGGAGGAGGGCAGAAAAGAAAAGTCTCCCTGGAGGTTTACACTCACATTCACCTTATTAAGCTTCTAAATCTTAAGCAGTTAAAACTTCTCTAAGCCCACCAGATCAAAATCTAATTTAGAAGGCTACCTGGATCTAAAGGGTAACAGTATTAAGTGCCTTTAAAAAAATCAACATAAACATGACATTTAAGCAAACTGGCACAGTGTGACAAGTTTGAGAACAGTAGCTCACAAGATGAGTATACTCTGTTTAAGACAAACACAACAAATAGAACCTTTAATCCAAAAAAGCACGGAGACAACCCTATGTAATACCTATGTTAAAACGTTCAACAGATCTAAGGCTGTCACAGGCCTCAAGTTGCCGGAGTCCTGACAGAAAAGTCAGTGATGTGAAACACGCTTACAAAGCTGGGCGTGCATGCACACACTCTGCAAGGTGAGCGAGACAGAGACACCGATCACCACTGATATTGTCCTTACTTGCAGACGCACAAGTATCCTGCATGTTCCGATTCTGACTGGCACCTGGAGCGGCTCTACCTGCCAGTCATCCCAATGTACTCAGGGATGTAAACACCTTATAATTAGAAAACGTGAAGGTGTCAAGGACGTTAGACAAATTGAAAACACATCCAAAGATTAATTTTTAAAGGCATTGAAGAAATAATGAATTGCAAAGTCTAAAATCGAGGATGTACCTGCTCCTTCACGGAAGCTAGAATAGTGGTGGCTGTGGTCTCGGGCTCCATGCCGGGGCCAGTGGAGGCAGCTTCCTGGCGGGTCTGTGGTTGCCCCTCCTCCACCAGTGAGGCCTGTTCAGGAGCTGGCATTCCTCCTGCAACCAAGCAGGCAAAGGGTTAACACTTCCATCTGCTTCTGCGCAGAAGAGGCAGGGGCTCCTCACACAGGGCTCCCAGGAACCCCTACAGACTTCTGCAGGCCCTGATCACAACGCCTTACGGCTATATGATGTCTAAAAGGCAACACCCAGGGTCAAAGGAGAACGAGTATTACCAAACACTAAAAAATAGCAATAATGACAATAAAAAATAATGACAATAAAAAACACCGAGAAAATATTTAAACAACATCATAGTCTAAAAATGACATGCAAAGTGTTAAGGAAGAGGACTCAAAAATACACCAAGGCAATATAGCTGTTAGACTCTATAAAATTCCTGAATTTTCTAAACAGTTCATCATTAAGTAAATATGATTGCCTTATCATGAAAAAAATAGTAACAAACACTCTAGACTGCTATAAGGGTCAATTTTCAAAGTACACGAGTAAGAAGATATCTACAACTGTAAATGCTTTACAACTGCAGAAGAGGCTTACGCATTAGAAGAAAGGCTTGAAAAAATAGGCAAAATTCTGCGGTATTAAAAAAAAATCAAGACTGCTGGTGGAGTATTATAGCTAGCTTGGTTTCCTTAGAGGAATCTGTTTATGCAAAGATGACAATGACTATGGTGATAGTGTTGAAAGAGAATTTATTTTGCAGGACCATAGACTGTGACAGAAAAATGGGTTCTTGTCAAGTGAATAGGTGCCTCTCCTACATAACATACTGAGAGCGGTGTGTTTGCTGGGAAACTTACTGATTTGATATGGATTTTTATATAAATTTGAGAAAGATTGGGAAAAGGTACCCACATAAAATGTTGTAAATATTCTAATAACTTGTTTACCTGTCAGTCTCTCTGTTTCCTCCAGAATAGAGTTTTTCATACCATGAGACCAGCCTAGAGCCTGGCATATATAATATTCAATTAATCTTCGCCAAATAAATGAATACATGAATGAAGGACTGAATGTCTCTTCCACGTCGCATAACAGTCATTAGGCAAATCTGACCACAAGTATTATGGTGCTCCTGAGATCTTATTTGATTATAACTCTGTGTACTTGTATTTGAGACCACAAATGCTATTTTGACATTCTTCATAGTTTTCTCCTAAAAATGATTCTATTCTCACATTTTGATTTCTTTTCAACTTCAACAAAGTTCATTTCTGTAGGATGATCTGGGGTGGGGGGAGGGGGAAGAAGTCCCCCATTCCCTCAAATGTCAATATCAGCTTGCTGTTTATTTCCAAACTCATAATCTGTAAGACAAGGGAAGATGAACATATCACCTGAGCCTCTACCTCCTTCCTCACTCTCCTGACTTGCACATTGGGGAAGCTGGGGTTAGGTTCCAGGGTGCTGCCAATGTTGCTTTATTGTTGCCATATTAATAGGCAGAAATGGAAAATGGGTCTGATGAGCAAGTGTATTTTGCCTTAATGGGGCTCTCCATGAGGAGTTCTCATGGCTGCTTTAGAGGTAAATTCTTTATTGTCAGTTTCTGTGGGGCCCCAGGCTAAGCACAGCCTCAACTGCAAAACAGAGGACCTCCAGTTCAAGTGGGAGGAGGACCTCCAGGCTTGAAGTATGTGGGTCCGGGATCAAAACCTAAGTGCCTTTAACATGAGCCATCACTTCCTCACTCACAAAAAGAGCTTACTAATTCTTCCCACAACACCACAGGATGATTTTTATGACAATCTTTATTTTTTAGTATGTATATTAATATTGATATATAAAATAGTGCACTCAAAATGTCATTGTTGTTGTTAGCTGCTCAGTCATGTCCAATTCTTTGCGACCCCATGGACTGTAGCCCACCAGGCTCTTCAGTCCATGAGATTCTCCAGGCAAAAATACTGGAGTAGGTTGCCATTCCCTTATCCAGGGGAAAATATCATTAACTGGATAAAATAATGCATTTCTGTATTTAGCCAGTGCTCATTATAGATAAGATTTAAGGTCTATGAAAAAAAATGCCACACATAACAAGCCTAGACTTCCACTTAAGGCTAGTAAAGATATGAAAATATTCTATGCCATCAAAAAACTACACACCTTAAAATAAGCAGATGGTTGCAAAGAACAAAAATGTTACTATGCAACAGTGAAACAAATGATGCCAAGAAACAAAAATTTAAAATGTCAGGAGTATAATACCCTGAAATAACCAATGTATAAGAAAAAAGAGAAGCAAAATTTCAGTGAACAAAGAGAATTTGGGAAAGAAAGAAACGTCACTGGGGAAGTAATTACTCTTGACTAAAAATAGGAGGATCCTGGCTATTTAAAGAAAGATACTGAAAAATACTGTTGTAATTGCATTACATCACTGTGAGTGCACCATACTTAATTTCATGATATTTATTTTCTGATGACTGTCCAGATCTATGGTATCAGATGAACATCTTCTGAATACCACTCTGTGCCCACGTAACAACATGCAGGGTGATACGGGGGTACAGGCATAAAGAAAGGTCACTGACCATTAGGGGCTCATCATCTAGCTGAGGCAGCAAAATACGAATCAGATCAAGATAGAGGCAAGAAGCATGTGATGGATTAAGAACACTGAAATCAACAGGAAGAGGTGATGAAAAAGAAACTTACTATTCGGCAAGAGAGGAGATTTGTATAGGTAGGCATGATTTCTACTCTCAGATTCCTCAAAGACTAGGAGACACTGCAGGCAACCACTAACACTCACGGGACAGATGATGATGACCAGGGTACCCAGGCATAACTGAGGGTGAGACACTTCACTACACCTCGTCTCTGAACAGTCCTTGCAGACCATCACCAAGATGGGGCAAAGAAGGGATGCCATAATACTGACAAGTTACACACCTAGTAAAGTAATCTGTTCATTTACATAGCTCTCATAACAATTTTAGGAGTTGGAAGGAAACAACCTAAGACTAAAGTTACAGAATATTTATTACTTCTCCCCATTAGCCAAGCAAAAAAGCAATGACTACTTATATGGCAAAGAGAGTTGAGAAATTAAGCTTTGTGCGTCCCTCAATTATCTCAACTGGCCTGATCTGGGCAATTGCATTTTAGGGACCTGAGTACACTTACAAATAAGTTGCTGGACCACTTTGGCTTTTGAAAATCACAGAGAATGGAAAAGGTGCCAGAAAACTGGAAACAGGAAAATGCCATTGCTGTTTTTGGAAAGAAGAAAGTAGACTCTCTTCATGTTACAAACTAGAGAACTAGACACAGATGTTGGGTGAGATTCTTACAAGGATTTTATCCAAGAGATGACTGTGAGAACCAAAAAGGGGCACGCCAAAGAAAAGTCATGTTAAGCTCATTTAATTTCTCTTTGGCACTGTAACCACGGAAGTGCAGTGTGTCTAGCCTCATTGAGGCATGATGATGTTAGAAGTACCCCATGGTACTATAATCAGCATAGAAATAGGGCTGGCACAAGGGCAACGCTGCCTCTGACATTCTGTAAATAGCTGAACAAAATATATCAAACTACAGAGGCTTCTAATGTAGTGCTAGAGAGCTCTGATCCTGGCCCAGTCCTAACCAAAAACTTTAACCATAATGTAATAATAATATTCAGGGCATGTTCAAATTATTCAATGAGTAAGAATACTGAATTTACCAGGTGATGAAATTCGAATATAAAAATTGCTGATGCACTGCAATAATGAATTGCTTCTAATGAGATGTAAAAAAAAATAAAAACACCAAGCATAAACACAGGATCTTGTATTTAGGTTAGCTCAGCAGCACAAAGGGGAAAGATTTAGAAGGCACTTTAGGTTCATGAGCACAATGAGTGAATCAAGAATGAAAAGAGGCTTCCACAAAGCCAAGGTGATGCTATGTTGTATCGATATCAGCACTTAAAGAGATAGAAAGAAAGGGACGAGGGAATGTATATCTCTTCTTCAGGTCCATGTCCACTTCCAGTGATGGGTGGCACATTAACAGGAATGGACACAAGTGTATTCATTCGAGAGGATGAGTAGGATGGTGAAAGGATTTCGCCATTATTTCCAGGCACAAGGACAAAATTAATGATGAGCTTGAAGCTTAGTGGAGAACACAGGAAAAACACTTGATTGAACAGGAAGAGAAAAATCTGACCTGAACAAGAAAAGGACCATGCAGAAAAGCAAAGGTCTATGAATCTCTTCAGGACTGCCAAGCACAAGCAAGGTCAGAATTATTGGTCCCAAGAGCTAGACCAAAAACTAATGGTTTTGTAGCAAACTTGTATTAACCTAAATTACTACTGTCTTTATACTCTGAATCAAATTTGGCTAATGTTATGTTTTATTATATTTATATTATAAAATAAAGGTTGGCGCTATGAGGGCAAGCTCAGGAAGGTCTTTCCTTTCGGAGCAAAAAGCCAGATGTCTAAAATTTCAAGAACTAAAACTCCAGAGGTGGTACATTCCCCATCACCGGAGGTCTTTAACCACAGTTCAGAAGAACAAGTGGCAGGGAAGGTACAGAAGGAATCCTGCACTGGGTGTGTGTCAGAAATAGGAGACAAAGTTCTCTGAATCTTGAGGCGGAGACTAAGATAAGAGAACATCTATGTTCTGAATTGACGTGAATGCTTCTCAGGGGTTTTCAGAGTGTTGTCTACCATATCACACCTCTCTGTAAAAAAGTACCTCAAGGCCAGGACACTGTTTTTCCTAAGAGAATGATGGTGACTGCAAGTCTTAATGACTGTTTCTGTTTAGCTGCACAAAAAGTTCAGAAGAGTTTGTGATCAACTCTTACAACTGCATTCTCATTTTATTCCAGCCTCTCATTACTTTTTTATTACTTCATTTTATTTCATTACTTTTTACCATTCTATTGGACAGCATTCTTTTGAGCCTTGTGAAATACTTTTTGGAAAGCTATGAACTGTTATGTGTTTTCACTACAACCTTCATCGAAGACAAGTTTTTACATAAAACTGTTGGTATAACATTGTGTGTGTTTCTCATAGTGAAC